CATTCGGGGGGGTTTATTTACTTATCAGATACTTCTATGCCATACATGTTTTAAGAAAGTAGAATCAGACAGTCTCTGGACCAACTGGGGGTTAGGGTCTGGCTCAAAAGCCCAGCAGGGAAACCAGACTGCAGACCACTGGGTTTGAAGCGACGACCTTCCGCTCATAAGCACAGCGCCCTGACCCGCACAGCCAAGCACTGTCATCACCTATGTAACTAAATGTGAAGCTCGTTACCCTTCACAGCATCAGCAGTCTGGGCCCCGAAAGGAAGATGGTGGCAGTTCAGCCACCCTCCTCCCATCAGCCCTCCCTGAGAGGTGCTCCTGTGAGCTTCCGGCAAGTTCTGCTGTCTGGCTGCAAGTTATGCTGCGCACAGGTGCAGGGGTGGGGACCCCTCCCCCAAGCCACTCCACGGCAAGACCACACTAATGTTTGAGCCGACCTCAGGAGCCACACGCACAGAGAACAGCAGACATTCTCAGGGTGGTGGCAGTGGGGGGCGGGGGTGGGACTATCTGCTTTCATCATTAGTCACTCAAAAAGGCCCCACGTTTGGCCCCCTCTCTGTCCTGAGGTGACCACCTGTTTGATTGAACAATAACATCTTCTTTACATACTAAAAGCCATACATTTTTCAAATTAAGCGGCTACTAGATTGGAAGCCCCCCTCCCTGACAGAGATGTGTCTAACCACGTGTGAACTTCTGGTCCTGTTTCACCACACCAGCAAGCACAGGTGCAACAAACACTACCGCTCTGGTTAAAGGCATCTGCTGCGTAATTAATGCATGACTGCAGCACACTGCAGGCAGTGCACCCTACCCTGGACATCCACACGCTAGCCTAAGCTGTAGAGGTCATGCTCCCAAGCAACAGGGAGCTAGCTAACTATGCACAGTGCACTGTCAAAGACTCGCTTCCTGAAAAGCTGCAGGCTATGAGCAGACGGAGCATCAGGCAGACCGGCCCATTGACGGCAGCATCGCTGGCTCAACGCGCTCATGTTATACAGAACACAATTTCAAAGGGTCCCTCCTCACCCATCTGTTCTCTCTGAAGAGCCTCACAAAGCATCACAGCCATCATACACAGGAATGTCTGCATTCACCCGCTTATTTCTACGTCTTCTTTGTACTTCTGATATACCTGTATCTGTCTGTCACTCTGAAAGAATGAACGAATCAAGAAGCAGCGGTGGAATATTAGTGTCCTACTAACCCAGCAATAGAGCTTATCTAGGTAGTGGCTCTCAGGGCTAACAGGCTAAGCAGGTAGGCTAGATAGTGCAGGAAACATGGCTAGAAAAAGCTTAGTGACTGGACATGGGAAGGCCACATGTTAGCTCGTAGGATGTGGCTGCTTCCCCCACAAACCACTGAGAGTCTCTGTAAGTCACCCATGAGAGCCAGTATAGGCAATCTCTCTCTTTATAATTATAATCACAAACAGAATAATGATCATACTTATTGATAAACTGGAAGGCATACCAGTCCATGGTACGCTGGAAAGGGTGCGGCGCTGCAGATGAGGATCACCGTGCCTGCAATCGGAAGGCCGCCAGCTTGACTGCCATGGTCAGAGCGATGCCACTGCTGTGCCCTTCAGGAAAACCTTTAATGGCAATGGCTCCAGCAACTGGCACTGCACATCTCTTTGGATAAATGCACCTGCTAAATAAGTAACTGCAGGAGAATTCTGAACGACTGTAGATGCATGTGCCCGGTACAGTTAAGAAATACTTCTTGTATCAGACAAAGGTGACCAAGAGACATTGACCCAGACACCAACGACCCCGGAGAGGAACAGGAGCGGATTGGCCAATGGAGGAGGATTAGGAAGAGATCTGCATGGCTGCGAGGATGAGTCGGGTCTGAAGGGGAAACACCCCCCCAGAGAGGAACAGGAGCGGACTTGCCCACGGAGGAGGATTAGGAAGAGATCTGCATGGTTGCGGCGATGAGCCGGGTCTGAAGAGGAAAAACACCCCAGAGAGGAACAGGAGCGGACTTGCCCACGGAGGAGGATTAGGAAGAGATCTGCATGGCTGCGAGGATGAGCCGGGTCTGAAGGGGAAACACCCCCCCCCAGAGAGGAACAGGAGTAGACTGGCCTACAGAGGAGAATCAGAAAAAGACCTGAATGGGTACGGGAATGAGCCAGGTTTGAAGGGGAAACACCCTCCCGGAGAGGAACAGGAGCGGACTGGCCCATGGAGGAGGATCAGGAAGAGACCTGCATGGCTGCGGGAATGAGCCGGGTCTGAAGGGGAAACCCCCTGGAGAGGAAATGGATACCTGGAAGGCTTAGCTCTCCTTACACCTTTATCACTTTCCTTCACACAGATCAAAGCACGGATCATTCAATTAAGGCAAGGATTTTAATCCTCATTCCGTCCAAATAAGAACAGGGCAGGAAAGTGGTTGAGTACACGTTCTGGAAATTACATCACTGAGCAAAGGTTTTGATCAATACCGTTTCAGTGAGTAGCCAAGTATTGAAACTCTCACCTGGATAAGTGGATGAGGAAGGTCAGGAAAGGCATAAAGACACGAGTCTCTCGGCTCTGAAATCAACTAAAAACATCTTGCTTGGCACTGGATTCAGAAAGTACCTAGACTTTATGCAGAGAAGGGGTCAAAAAGCATGGAGAAGGGCATATAGTAAGAACCCCCTCAGCCAGAGATCAAACAAAGGAAACAAGACAGAAGGACGTGATCCCACAGGCCGTGTCCCGCCTCCTCACACATCCCAGAAAGCACGCTGGTCCAGCACAAAACAGGCCAAGAGGAGCATTCAGCCAGCAACACTACGTGCGCGTTGAGATTTCTCTGAGCGAACCCTGTGAATCATTTTTCCTTCTCCTGCTAAATGCCGTGCATGGCTAATCGCTGACAGAAAAAGCCTCTTGTTCTAGTGCTTTGCGTGTGTTACTGAAATTGTACAGTCCTGCCCTGAAGCCTATATCTGCACAGTTTCTACAAAAACACTACAAAATTAGGAACGGCCATGAAATCCAAATCGAGGCAGGTTTGCAGATACTGAGATACCCGCGTATGCCTTCTTAAAGCAGATGACAGTATCCAAATAAGACAGATGGTCACTCATCAGCAATAAGCAGAAGATTTTCCTAGCAATGAAGAAGAACAAAAATAAATTCAGCTGTCTTGTGTTTGGCATGATAATGTCTAAGACATTCACATTTACCTAAAATATCGCGTGTCATATGCTATTTAACCAGCATTATTTTCATCACACACCCATTTAACGACGGTGCAAAAATACGTATATAAAGATGTGGTTTATTAAGCATTGCTGCGGTAACTTTTCCCAAAACCAAAAACAAAAAACGTTGTGCTAAATATTTATAAGACGACGCGTGGTTCAGTCACTGGAGCCAAGACTGGGCCTAGATCCACACCTCTCTGGTTTGGAAGCCATGGCAGCAATCTAACAGCGTGTTTTATAAAGTTAATCTGTGCAGCTTCAAACTTCACAGACGGTTTTGTTTGGCAAGCTTGAGAGAAACCTATTTACGGCCGACACAGGCTGTTCTGTGTGGCTACAGGAAAGCAGGATGAGGAGCTAATATTTAGAAACACGTTTTTATTTGATTTCTCTATTTATCTTGTGTGTTTCTCGAATCCCGGGGAACCTATTTAGCATCAAAGGTGCGGCCGCGCACGCCCAGTGGTACCAGTGGAGGCAGCCAGGGGTTTCTGGTTTTAAATCCATCCCGGAGCTGGCTGCTGGACAGCCCCACAGGGACCCTAGACATTCCCTTCTGGGGGGCTGTTCCAAAAGCCAAACGTAAAGGAAGCAAAGCTGATTAATGCGACGACTGTGTGCACGCAGTTCCTACTTTCCCCGCCATCAATTTCAGTACAGCTTTGTTTTTACATAGTGCCCATCCCAACATGGCCGCTCGGCAAGCGCTTAGCCAACACTTTTTTTTCCCAGCACATCTGATACAAACATATGAAAAGCAGCATTGCAGACCCATGTAACGGTAATTTTCAAATTAAAAAAATCAAGTCTGAGTGAAAACTGCATGACAAACCCCCCCCGGAAATACTGATTCCTGGCGCATTTAAAACTGAGTCGGGCACCAGCTTGTGGTCAGCCTGTCCGACGGGCAGAGTCACAGGCATCCGTGGAGAGGACCAGAGGGTGTCACATTCTACATACCGCCGCCACCGCTGTTGCCGCTGGGGGGCGGCTGACTGGACACCACCGGGAGAGTACGCCACTTACCGAGTTGTGCGTGTGTGTTCTTCAGAGCAGGCCTCAGATATCTGGAGCTGTACTGTTATGTGCGTCTCACACTGCACCCGCACGCCAGCCTACAGTGTCCCTAATGAACATCAATCTCAAGCCGCAGGGAGAACTTAGCAAGAAAACAAAAAAAGAAACCTTTTAAAATACTGTGCCGGTTCGGTGCCCAAACCCAAGCTCCTATTTCCAGGACCCGGGTTAATTTTATTCCCGTGTCTCCCACCAACCAAAATAGCAGGCGTATTTCCATGGATATGATGCAGACACTGCCTGTCCGCTAAACGAAGCCTTCGCAGTGAACCTTTGCCACAGAAACCTTCTGGAAGACGCACATTAAAAACTTCATAAGCATTAATGACTGCACTGCGCTCTCAGCTATTTCAAATCCCTTATTACAAGACGTGTAGCACGGGGCTGACAAAACAAGCTGCGATGAGACCACGGTGCACCGCACACTGTGGCAATCCAATTTGCCTAATAGATTCCCATTTCCCATTCCATTTCAGGGAAGAGAAGAGTAGAGAAAGAGAGGATAAAAGAGGAACATGAGCTTTTCATCAGAAGCACTTTCTCAACTCCAGTCAACAACATGGCCCAAAAGACAAAATGTGTTTTCACACTGAATTAAGAGCAAGGAGAGCATCAAACAGCACAAAACAGTGGCTATCCATGACCCCAAGGAACTTCGGTGTCACTACTGAGGCTTTCAGAAGGACGAACTCACCCAGCAATCAGAGCAGCGATCCCCTCTTTGCTGGAGAAGCTCTATCCAGCCCTTCCTACTGTCCTTCGGTCTTCAGAAGCTCCTTCTTGTCTTTGGCTTCCTGTTTCCTGCTAATGTTGGAGAGAGAAACAGAGAGGGAGGGAGAAGGAGAGAGAGAGAGGGAGAGAGGGGGAAGCTTCAGAGTCAGTGATTCAATGGCACAGCGTAAACAGCAGCTCTCTGCGCTGACAGCCCGTGTTAGCGGCCGCTCAGCCTCGCCCACACAGCCCCCACCGCCCCCCACCGCCAGAAAAGGGCTGCAATCAGGCAGCACTATTCCTGAGCGTAGTGCAAGATAACCCCCTGTAACGCCCCCAAGCCAAGACCTCCCGAGCTATATCTGATGCAGTTAATTAGTGATAAACTAGTTCCCATCTTAATTAAGATGACTAAGATTACTGTTGTGTAAAGATATTAAGGATAATATACATACGAACACCTGGACCATAAATTTTCAGAACCAAGCAAACGACTGTCAATGAGTGAGGCAATACAGTTTTTAGTAGATAAATGCAATCATTCTTTGCCATAGAGTAAAGCCAAAATGCGGGACGACATCTGCTCAAAGCAGCCAGATCGCCCTACGGCTCCTCAGTGGACCCAGAAACGCACGATGGCTTCCTGTATCCTGTACATGAGAGTCAAACAGATCCCAGGCCTTTGGTGCCAAGCAACGAAGTCCATCACACTGTACGAGCAGCGTGCGACTTGATGAATGTCGAGCGGAAGCACTCTGCTCAGCTGCGCTAGCAGTTAGCATCAGCCTGCGGGACTGTAATGTGATGCAATTGAGTAGAAAAATTCACTTGGTGGAGACCAGAAATAGACCGTCAATTGAAACACACACAGGGCTGCCTGTTTGCCCGCAAGCTGCAGCCCAGAAGAGGAGAGGAGAAAGAGGCTCAGAAAAACACCTCACATTGGTAAACGCTCATTCAATCTGCACCTCCTTCCTTGCTGCGCTGGTTCCCAGATTGGCGTCGCTCCACGGACACTAAGCCCTGAACACCTTTGCCCTTTGAATCACTCTCAAAACACAACTGTAACTCAGCACAATCATGGGCATTACCTGAGAAAACCATGCTATGCTGTTTCAGTGACAGTGTGGGAACAGTTAAAACAGGTTTACAGTAAGTGTTAAAAGAGGACAAAAAAATGGGTTGAAGCAAGATACAGCAAGAGCAGCATTGAGGCAGAGTGAGGCTGTGCCAAAAAAATACTGTTTGGTTACGCAATGAAATTATCAACAGGCCTGTCTGATTTCTCCCCTTAACATTTGAGATCTCCTCTCGTCTCGTGCACTTTTCCAGTTCTGAGTCATAACATTTGGGCTGAATGATGCACCTCCCTGTCATTTCCAGCGGGGCTTGCTCCACAGGCAATGTAAGCAGGTCTTAGCTTATGGTCGCTAACGCTACCAGGCCTGGAGGGCGAACAGGTTGTCACATAAAGGGTGCTGATGCCCCCTGAGAAGAAGCAAAACCATTAAGCAAAGAAAGCAAGACATTTTGTGCCCTTATTCTCACGCACCATTACATTTCCAGAGAACAAATCATGAACCACAGAGATTCTGTTTTGCTACAAATCACCTTAGAGACAGTGCTGGGAACTCCTTTCATTATAAATATGCTGTTCTGTTTAAGAAATATATCGAGGAAAGCAGAAGCATTTCAGCTAATGATCCTTTGTTTACGTGATCCTTCTCTCAGTGAGTTAATTCAGACAATAAAGCCAAGTACCCCATTCATATCCCCACAAGATTCTCTGAGCCCATCATTGCAAGCCCACAACCTACAAAATTCCTTCCCTGCATCCATGTGATCCCACAGAAACATGCCGGGACAGAGGATGAGCCAGCAGGAAGGTAAATAGGCCAGCAAGACACTTTCAGACTTTCAAGCATGATGTCTCTTCATTAACAAACCTGGGAATTTAATTTATAATTGCTAGAGGACTGGTTGTTAAAGTGTAGAAAGACGCATGTGCCTATGAACCAGCACACACTGGAAGCCTAATGGCAATACGAGCTAACGTATACACATAAAGTCTCCATTTTTTTGAAGACTCCATTCCATCACTGATGTGTTTTTGATGCTCAGGGTGATGATTTGTGGTTCTGCTAACCAGTGTCTAGACCATCCATTAGTCACCTTCTTTATCAGATGTAATTTAACTTTCATTTGTCAATTTCTGCCAATATCTTACTTATTTATATTTACAAACTGCAGGTCAATTGCTCAAGAAATGGGAGAAGAAAAACAACAAATTCTTTTTCAGGATTATAATTGTCTTTGCAAAAGTGTGATTGAGCACATTCCTTTACTGAAATCGAGACCATTTTATAACTGATATTTACAAATATTTTAATTCTTAATTATGCCCATAATTCTAAGTTTCAATTATAAGTTCAAAGGAGAGACTACTTTTACATAAATTTTTCCCAGAGGGAATCCAAAAACTTTGCTAAAAACAAACAGGAAAAAAAAAACTAAAAATGAATCGCTGGTGCATGTTGAGCGACATTCAATCCATGGCACTAAGCTTAAACGATTTTTTCTGAGGATTTATTATTTTACACGTCAAAATGTCTGGATGCAGCCACACAGCTATAGTAGATAGTTTACAATTGATAAATGCTCACAATGTTGGACAAGCACTTCTCTCATGCTGTGCCCTGTTCAAGGCAGCGGTGCAACGGGGCCCAAATCCTACGGTGAAGCACATGAGAAATGTTGGTACAGTAGTAGAGTGCAGCATCAAGCTTTCTTGATTTATGCAGAAAGAACATAAAGTACTAACCAAAGAGATCGGAGTATTTCCAAACCAAAAGTGAAACAATCATACAAAGGAAAACAAATTCTGGTCCCATCATCCTACATTGTGATTATGGATTAATCACAAGTGCCGATAAATATTACTGATATCTGTAGAAAGAGAGGGTGGGGGTAGACGTGACCTCACTGTTGATTCTCTTGAGACCTGCTTTTCCGTAAATGATCAAAAACACTCTGCTGTCTAGTAACAAGAACTTTCATTTTTAATGGGAGTCTACTGGGGAAAACATCAGTCATACTGCACGGGTGTCACCAGTTGTCTTTCAGTTGTTTTTTTCCTTTTTCTTTAATTACATGCACACCACCTACAAGCAGGAAAATTCTCATTTGGCTGGTGGGAGACTTTTAGGCCCAGTCTGGTCGCTAATGCATCCTGACACCTCTGTGAAAACAACGGCACGCTAACAGACTGGCTCGGCACGTGTCCGCTTGCTATCCCCATGGATGCAGGGTGGTAAACAAGCACCAGCCATCAGCGCATCAAAATTACCAGAAGCCACTGTGCACTTTCAGCTCCTAACCTTCAGTCAGCTGTAGTGATGATACGCACCTCATCACTGACTGGAAGTGTGGATAAACCTACACTAACGGCAATCACCTGCAACGCCTTCCATTACATGTAAATATAACATTTCATACTATGACTGTAACAAGATTTCTTGTGGTGAATTTTTCTTCATTTTTACAGATGTGAATTTCTCTTTGCTAATATAATGATAAAACACACGTACTCCATATTCATTCTTAACTTTAAAAAACCCCGTCAAACCACCCACGATGCAATCAGAGCAGAGTGCATCCAAAGCTCTGTCAGGTGAGTCCGATGGCTGTCTTCCTCTCCCCCTTCATGCTGTATGGCCCTGTCTACTGGGTGCCATGGCTGAGGGGGGGGATGGGGGGCTGTGTGTGTGGCATTTTACTCAGTTTTATGGAAGAATCAATGACTTGACTGTCTGTCATGTAGGACACAGATATATGAGTGTATATTGGGGGTTGCACATATTTAATGAAACACCATTATAATGTACTAAAATCTAACTACATTGTTTAAAATGTACGCAAAAAGCAATTAGATAAAGGGATAGTTCTGCACTGTCTGATTGTGTTCGTCATGCCCACACGGCCCATTTAGTACCACGCACACCTGGCACACGATACTTCGGGCACATTACACAGCCAGGGTGTGCTAAAAGGGCTCAGAAGATGGAATTAATTATTTAAACAGAATAAGAAACAGCTATGGAATGGTATCGTTTTATATAAAACCTAAATAGCAGACATGGTTGCGAGCTTCAGTCACACTCAAATGCATGAACGCTTATTACTAAATCAGAAGCAAATGGCAGAGGCAGAGCGCGGCCGGCACAGGCAGAGCGCGGCCGGCACAGGCAGAGCGCGGCCGGCACAGGCAGNAGGCAGAGCGCGGCCGGCACAGGCAGAGCGCGGCCGGCACAGGCAGAGCGCGGCCGGCACAGGCAGCGCAGCCTGCCATATAATACACTCAAAAGAGCACATTCACATGAAAATTATACGCTTAAAAGGTGTGCGTCACACAGCAGTATGGGATCTAAACAAACATTCATTTCCGACAATGTTTTTCTTTATTTTTACATCATTTCATAAGGCTTTTGGACTTTCGGGCTGGGAACTAAGGTTTGACAACTGGCAACCATTAAAAAATCTTCCTAAAATCAGGCAAAAAAACCCACCAATAATATTTAAAACACAGCATAATAAGATAAAACTTTGTACCTTAAATAAAGAACTCAATTACCCAATAAACATCTACACTATTTCAGTAAACACATTTTCAAGGAGTATATCATTTACCTACAAACTCCTATTAAAAGTTATTACCTAATACTTTAATTTTCATCAGGAGTTTGTTTTTGTAATGAAAGAGAATTTCTCCACAGGGATTAATAAAGTGATTTTGATTCTGATTCTAATACACAGAAGTGAGCCAAGAGTTATACACAAAACAACAAAGTGACTTTGTATCTAAAAAATGTTAGATTTATTTGGGGCATAAAATCAGTTTTAACAAAGAAAGAATGACCAATTATACATTTCAAGGATTTCACATGAAACTGAAGACAATGGCTGCTAGTTCTAATGGACATCAGTGACAAGTTTCAGTTTTCCATAATAAGGGTGAAGGCCAAGCCTTTCTCCTGTGGTCTTTATGACGACTCAGTGCAGTGTGCCTTGTCACCAGCAAGACCGCTAAGTAAACATAACAGGACACAACCAGCGGAAGGCTAAGCCCGTGCCCTGTGAGTACAGCGAACTGTATTACAAGATGACTACAAAGATCAGTGCTTCAGACTTTCTGCAACGCTTACGCTTATCACAATAAATTTTCACCGCAGACAATCTTTCTCTACGGGAAAATAATACTT